TATATATATATATATATATATAAAACCTAAAAAAAAATATTTTTTTAAAGGGTTAGCAACCGAGTTCAAAGGTCAGAATTAGAAGAGATAATTGTTTACTTTACTTCTTTATTTACTGTTCTATGTTTTTAGAAAAATAAGCTTAAGAACTTCTTCGTAAATAGTAATAATATGTATACATATATAATTTATAACAATTGAAATGTGACTATTTTACAAAACACTAGTCTACTAAAACACAGCCAAGACAGGTCACTTTGTAAAGGCCAGTTTTATATTATTGGATACTGTAACACGAGTGCACGTGAGCTGCATCATTGTAACTTCTGTGTTGTTAGCCAGGCATGGCTGGAAGGTCATTTGTGTTATAATTTGTAGTCATACTAGAACGAAAAAAGTATAATTTATATTTTGTTTCTTTTTTTCTTTTTTATTGAGGTTATGAAGTAGGTCGAATTAAACCAACCCATACAGAAATACAGTAGTGAAAATAACAAATAAAATATAAAGTTTTTTCTAAAACAAATTTGATAATTATCTGAAGATTATAAAGATTTTGCATGTGAAATTTGAAAATGTTCAAATCAAATAAAGTATTTTTAATCTTAAAATCAAAATTGTTTTGTATGTTGGATAGTCACCATTCTGAAAGGTTTACGATAAAATCTTTAATTAAAAAAAATCTTAATACTTAATCTAAAAACCTGATATTTTGTGTATAAAAATCTCAATGTTTACCAATAACTTGCAAAATTTTGTAAGAATGTGCATACATTATAAAAAAATCACAGTATAATTACTCTCATGGATACTTTCGTGGTTACGAGCCAGGTGGATTCCACCCAGCCTGTAATGAAAGGGTTATTAGCTAAATATAAATTCAAAAATCATTACATTTTTTTAGTCTTCTATATATTTCAATACAATCATGATGGAAGATATTTTACCTTGCACCCCACTTTTGTCAATGAAATTACTAAGTTGAAAAGTGCAGTTACTTGAGGCAAAGTACTGGATAAATCTCTGTAATGTAAAAAGTGTATAACATAAGGTTAATATCACTTATAAGATATAATCAGTGAATATAAACATTCTAGGACTACAACCCTATGTTAAAGAAGAAAAAGTGACAAACTACTGCAAACTAGACAAAACATATGACATTTCTGTCATAAGAGTGTATTAAACTAACCAGCAGTCTCACTAAATGCAAAAAAAAACAGCATATTCTAACAACTTTTTGAGAAATTATAACTTGGTAAAACAAAATTATTAAATATTGCACATTTTCAGGAACTTGATGTTGATAAATGGTCAACAGGCGAATAAATTAAGATTGGTTCTATATTGTATGAATACTTAAAATTGAATGGTTGTGTTGATGGTCAACCAATGTTGACTTGTATTCACAGCATTGTTTCACTTACCATGTTCTGTTGCAGTATAATTAGGGATAAGACCTTAGCAGTAAGAAAAGCAATGAATACACTGAAAGTTTGTTTTCAAGATGACTAGTTAAATATTTCTCCCATGAAAATTCATTGGAATTATTTTTAAAATCACAACTTTTTATGGCAAAACTACAGTACAAGTTGGTTAAAGAAAACAAAAGGATTATAACTGTTTAATTATGTTCTAATTGGCAGCACAATTCTTTGTATTAGTGAAAAGAAAAAGAGCAAATATTTCAGGATGCATCCAAATTGTTAACTGTACCTTCTATGCAGCATATCACACATTAACAAAATAAACTGCTTCTTACTATGCCAACCATGACTGTGTTTAATTCTTGGACTACACTTATTAAAAAAAAAATCACATGCCTAGTCTAGATTTATTGCCAGTTTCCCATTTTTTTAATAAGAGAATAGCATAAAAAAGAGCCAGTAAGTTTATTAAACTAGTATGCGATATTAGCTTTATATGTTCATTGGAAATTCCACGTATTATCACAATTGAAACAAAACAAAGTAATTAACAAGCTCTCAACCAGTTGGCACATATCTTTTATTTCTATGAACTATTTACCTTATGTAGCATAAGAAGTATTTTCTCGAAATGCACAAGTAATTATTACCTCATAATACTGTCAATTAGAGGCACACTTGGAAAACAGCCAACATGCAATCTTCTGTTGCGATCTATTTCATTTACGTACACTGCGTATACTTTCCTATATATAATTCAGTACAACAATACAGTTGAAAAATGATAAGAATCAGAATATTTCTTTTTGCATTTCAAAACTCTTACATCTGAAAATCAAAGCTAAACTAACATATCCCACCTCATTTCCATAACACATAAGGTGATGAACAGTGACCAATGCTTTGAAGACAACTACCCAGGATGAATGCTGCGTTCTCTCAATGAGAAAATTTGCCATTTGTGGAATGGAGACATTGGGTTCATTTGTACACTGCAGTAAATCTAGAACAAAATACCATCAATATAAATAAGCATCTTATTTTCATTAAACAAATAATTGGGTCTCACTCAATGTGATTGAGAAGCAAGTTTTATAAAAAAAAGAGTTTTAATATAAGAGATGAGGAAATTTTGAAGAAGAAAAAAATTCTCATTTCACCCTTTCACCTCGGGCTGATGCAAATTGTATCACTTTGACTGGGAAAGGGCAGTTATGCAAAAAACACATGGTAACTGAGCATTCCTCACAAAAACCTCATAAGATTTTGTTCAAATTTACAAGTATTTTGTATACAAAGCATGACATTATTTTGATTATGTCTTTTTAATACAAATGCTATTTATTTATAGTAGTTACTTGCATTAAAACTCTTAACAAATCGAGTGCAAGGCGATTTTCATATCAAGTATAAAAATACTTTTCTTCATCTAATAGTTTTTATATTTCATTTACATAAT